AGGGATGGGAATATCACCTGGGCAGAGAAACATGGCGGTGACAGGGCTGGGAATATCACCTGGCAGAGAAACACAGCAGTGACAGGGCTGGGAATATCACCTGGGCAGAGAAACACAGCGGTGACAGGGCTGGGAATATCACCTGGGCAGAGAAACATAGCGGTGACAGGGCTGGGAATATCACCTGGCAGAGAAACACAGCGGTGACAGGGCTGGGAAGATCTCCTGGCAGAGAAACACGGTGGGTGAAGCAGAAAGAAGGATGTCAGCCAGCCCCAGGGTGGGCTGTGGGGTGAAATGGCAATGACAGCATCCTCTGGGAGTGTGCACCAGGCTCTCATGATGTTTTTCCCTCTTTATAAGGAGTGGGAGCACCAAATTCACCTCCAAATCAGTGCGCACAGGGTGACTTCTCATGATCCCTTACATTCCTCTCCACAAGAAGTAAGGACCTTATGGGTGTCAAGTGACATTTTGCCATTAACTCAAATCAGAGGTGGGTGCCCTGGCCTCGTGGCACGGCCCAGCACAGGGACCAGCACCTTGCTGGGTGATGTGCATGTGAGGAACTCTTCATTAACATTCCCTCTCCCAGAATGGGTGTATTTTTTAACCAATATAGCTCATATTTCCAAATATTTGGCTCCTATCAGTCCCAGGCTGCTTCCTAGTGGAAAAGTGATTAGGTGTGGCAATTAGTGACAGCAAGCTGATAATAAAGAAAACCGAGATAAGAAAGAAAGGAAAGAGGGGGGCTTCCAAAGTTTAAACAAATACTTATAATTCATTCTTTATTTTAACTTCACTCTGATTGAATAGGTAAATATTGGCTCAAACTGAATATTGAGAGCACTAGATAAAAATAACCAATTTTCTTGAAAAGGCTTATTTTAAAGTGTTTGGTCTAGCTGCCTACAGTGAGGAATCAGAAACAGCATATACTTTATATGACTATCACAGATATTAAACAACATATCTCTGATATATATTAGCTATTGGTACATTCAACTTACAGTGACACTTTCAGAATAGTTAAGTAGTTTTTCACTGAACAGTCACCGACAGCTTGATGAACTACAATAATTATAAACAACATTTGATCAAATCACTTGAGCGCTTGAGGGTGTGATGCAGCTAATGGCTCCACGCAGTACTGCCAGCAGTGAGTTAAAACCTCCTCAAACTACAGTGCTGCCCCACTGAAACCATTCATGCCACCCAAAATGCTGGCCAGCCTCTTGCAGGCGGCAAGGAGGTGACCATTGTTTCCTGCCCAGTGAGAGGCAAGGCACCAGCTTGCTGCTGTTGCTATCAGGGATCACAGCCTCCTGCCCCTGAATCCACTCCTTCCATAGAAAGCAGCTGATATGCTTTAGCTGATGAAGGCTTCCCTTTTGTTTGACCAGGATCCACAGATCCTGGAAATAATGACCACAGTGCTGCCAGCTGGCCTGCCCGCAGGCTTTGCCTACCAGCTGCTGCCTCCATCAGCCCCACCACTGCTGGCACTGCTCCTGGCTGGGACCTGGCTTTTCTCCAGGGCTGCCTGAACCCAGCCAGAGGAAGCTTTGTGTCAGCCTGGAAGGAGATTTAGCCTTGTTTTGGAGCTGGACGGCGGCAGCACGCTTTTGTGTGCCCTGCCAGCCTGCCAAGCACAGTTGCCACCAGCATGCTGGGGACAGCCCGGCTGGGCCGTGCTGGAGCTGGGCCTTGCATACTGGCAAACACATCAGAGCTGCAGTTCTGCACTGCCCTCCTGCAAACACTCCCTCCCTCCCAAAGGTGTCTGAGCATCCTCTGCCAGAAAGACACAGGTAAGGGAGAAGGTTAACTGGGAGAGATGATCAGAGGGTAAGGCTGGTGAGCATGCTCCTTGTGCAGAAATGTTGAGTCCAATGAGAGGTATTAATAAACAGTAACACACTTCAAAAGAGGTCTTTTCTCCCCTCTCTTTCAGAGATATACTGAGTTTTTTCTTCTTTCCTAAAATAAATATATAAACCAGATATCAATAGAAACCAAAGTGAGCCCCAAATACAACAAGTCTTGCACCTCAACCCAAGGCTTGTTATTTACCCAAATTTAGACCAATGCCATTCTGATCACATTTACTTGCTAGTGGTTTTGTGAACACACAAGATGCTTTCAGATATGGAAAGAAAATTCCTTGGGAAAAATCCAGTCTGAAGACATTGACTTCCTTTTAGTGGACATGACAGAAAATGCTGGGTTCAAGAACTTTCAGTAAAAACTAGCATTTTGGGTTTCTTGATATTACATAAATTGCATCTCAGAGAATTCTTTGTTTGTCCTAATTCAGATGAGAACAGGGGAGAAACTATATAAATGGGAACAATTTATGCTAGATGGAGCTGCATACTTTCCTCTCAGGTTTTCAGTTTTCCTTGTTTATCTATCCCTGTTTAATGCATGTGACTGATGTTTGCGGTTCTAGTAAAGACAATCATAGCAAGGAAATCAATAACCCCGAGTGCCTCTGCACTGACAGAGTTAAATCTTGTCTGTGTGGAATTCAGGGGGAGTTGTGCTGCTGATTTCAATGGAGCCAGTATTCCTGCTCAGACCCTAAAATGCTACAAACATTTCTTTTTATGGCTACATGAAAACAGTGATGCTAAACATGAACTCTGTCTGTAATTCCCAAGGGCTGCAGGCTCTCAGCTGCTCCCCCCTGGCTGTCCTGTGCTGCTGTGGCTGTGCCCAGCAGCCCTGGCCTGGGGAGCTACACTGTGCCCTGCAGTGTAGGAACAGAGTGAGCCTGGTCTCAGTGCTGCCAGCACAGTAAACATCCCCATGCCTCCATCCCAGACCCCAGCAGCCCTGGTGTAATTAAATACTAACTGGTCATTACAATATGTAGGGCATCATACAGACAGCAATTTTCTGCTCTGACACAGCAGACTCAGCTGGGATTCTACAAGCCCTCAGACACTGCATAATAAGGATAAGGATGTGTTTCCCAGCAAGATTTTCCTGTTCAGTCATTAACACCACTAATTTATCCCAGCTGGTCTCAGGAGTCTGCATCTCACTGGGGCCACAGTGCTCTTACACAGCTATCATGGGTCTACACCCCTGTGCTTTCCAGCAGCCCAGCCACAAATTCACACACAGGCAGTGCCAGATTTCCTGCTTTTACCTCTTCTTGGGCTTTTCCATGCAATTGCCCCAGCAATAGGATGGGCACAGGGTTTCAGCATCCTCTCTGCTAATGAACCACGGTTTGCACAGCAGACTTGACCAGGTTTTCACACCTCTGGTTCTTCTGGCAACTCCCAGCTACGGCAATCTCCTCAACCAAAATATAATTCAGTTTTTAGCAGTGTAGAGTAAGTGTGTAGGAAAAATGGAAAAGAACACTTTGTCAACATGTGTGTGCATTTGATGATGTGGTTTTACAAGCCCATTGTCTCCCTAGTGCCACTGTCCAGCCAGGACTCCGTTGGGCAGTGGTCCCCAGACACTCTGCAGGCAGCAAACCTCAACAGTAAGCACCCCAGGGTGATCAGGCTTCTGTCTTTCCCACTCAAGTCTCCATCTCTGTGTACAAGGCCTTCTATCAAAACATCAAAACCTGGCACCTCAACAATGTGACTTATGCAGTATGATAGCCCCACCTATGATAGCAAAGTGAGGGAGGCCCTGATCTTTACACCAGCAGCTCTGAAATGTATGCACTAATTAAAATATTATATTTTGTAAAACAAGTCAGAAGTAATACATTGAAGCACCCCAGCATTTCTGTGCTTTACATCCATATGATATCCTATCAGAAAGATGTTTTTGTTCCCAGTGTTGCTAGCTCACCAAAAATCTTATGATATTTGGGATTCTTAAATACAGTCCCAGGAACTGAATCTTTATCTCAGCTTCCACTTAAAATTAAGTATCTAGCAATAACTCGTGTCACAAACCAGGAGGCAAAGAGAACTGCTAAGAAACAAAATATCTAGTCCTTGGGGTAATGTTCCTACTGTGAGATATGGACTGATGCAGTTGGATCCCATGTGCTATAAAAGCAACCTTTGCACGAAGCAACATCAATTGAGGACTGATTTAAAAGACGCACAGAGATTTTTTGGCACGGTGGTAGTCTCTCTACACAGCCAAATAGGAGCTGACGTCTGTGGTGTCTGAGTGAGGAATACCACTGCTGTGCCTCAAGAGAGTTGGATTCACCTGACCCCCTTAGTGCAATGCATGTTGGCGGCAGGAGGGAGCCCACTCCAATCCTAAGGGAAGCCCACTCCACTCTCAGAGGAAGGCCACTCCACTCCCAAGGGAAGCCCACTCCACTCCAAGGGAGCAGGAGTGGCTAAGCTGTCCCACAGTACCTTGCACATGCCATGGAGTAAAAATACTTTGCTCTTCAGCCAGACCATTGCAGCTGTCTGCAGTTTGGTCACAGCATTACATAGACAGCCTCTAATAAATTTCCACAGGGTTTCAATTTCCTCATGGGCTGTCATGAGCAATTCTTGCTCTGTTGATTATTTCACAAGTACTAGTGGCAGAAGAAGCCTGAGCTCCTCCTGCAGCAATGTAGCCCTGAATATAAATAAAGCAGCAGCCATGGACATGGTGCACTCAAGTAACCACTTGCACCACAGTGACCTTGATATAGAAATACATAAAGTCCCTTTGCAAGAAGTACCCTAATATGTTTATTTATATATATCTCCACAGTGGG